CGATCCAAGCAATTTTAATGGTGCTTATCATGTTGTGAGAAAAATAATTGACCAACGCACGGGCTGCCTGTGCGAAAATGCGTTTTTGCATAGTTCCCCGCAGTTTTTGTCGCTACCGGCACCGGTTTTTTTGGCAAATGCTTCTAGCTGAACAAATTAAGACTGGCCCCGAGAACTGTCAGGAAACACCCCCCTAAAATTTCAGCCTTCTAGCTTTCCTGGCTCCTGAGTTAGCAAGTTACTGGAAGAAAACTTTCATGGGCCCGTACGTGGGTACCACTCATATCCGACGTCTGGGTTTGAACTCGTTGGGACTTACGTGGTCAGAGAACATCCTCTTAAAATTACAGTCTTCTAGCTTTTGAGATACTCGAGTTACCGACTTACCCGAAAAAACTTTGGCGGGCCCGTACGCGTGTACCACACTTACTCGGAGCCTGGATATGAGCTCATTAATACCCACTCGTACGGCGAACATCACCCTAAGATTTCAGCTTTCTAGCATCTCAGATCCCCGAGTTATGAACTTACCCGGAAAAAATTTTGGCGGGCCCGTATGCGGGTACCACGTGGGCAAGGGCGCCCATTTTTGGGATTGGGACCCGTACGTACATGTAGATTAAGTTCCCAAAGTTTCAGTCCTGTAGCTTTTGTAAGTCTTGAGATGAAAAGTCGGTACAGACGCACACACAGACACACGGAGACACAGACAACCCCCCGTCAATATGCGTTTTCTGCATTACATAGCTGCAAAAAACGCATAAAAAAAGTAGTTCACGTAGTATGACCGTAAACGCAGGCAAAAATACAGAACTACTCCGTGGAATGAGAAGCGTGCAGGAAAGGTGAGTGTGTCTCTGCGTGTGTTTTTGATTAAGACAGGTCAAAACAGATAGGCCTAATGAGTTAGAGACAAAAGCGCCAAGGACGACGCACAGAATCGATGTGGACTGTGGACAGTGGATTGAACAGGCATGGAAAGGTATGTAGATAATTCTACACGAACATTCCGACTAAGAAGCCAATGAGCAGCGGGCGAAAAAGCAATCTGGATCTCCTGTGAAACTTTGTATAAAGTGCTTCTTGTTTGCTTTTTGGGATTGCAGGTCTTTTTTTAGGATTTATCCTGGGCATGGACCAATTATTGAGCAAGGTTCAGCTAAAATTGAAGAATACATTGCGCACCGCCAGCGAAGAGAAGACCAGATCTTGAAAGTAATCGAAACCCTAACACAGGCAACCAGCATGCAAATCACTAATCTCGTGTACAAAGTATGTCGCTTCCTACATTTATCAGCAATAATATTTTCGTAATTCAAAAAAATATAAAACCCTCCAGATTCGCTCTCAGTCAAAGGCTGAGATACTTTGGAAATAGCGCGAGGGGCAGCAAGTGTCAACAGCAACCATCCACTGGCAAGGTTGTCGATAGCTCCATCTTTCGAGGGTTTAACTCCTTGTATATGTCAGTACAAGAATGAATCGTAGAGGGATTGGTTGTTCCACCGTAACATTTTTGTACATTAATAATTATGCGTTTTTGCATATATGTAACCCAGACTGGAACGCACCAGGCGGGCCGGAGCGATTATGCATTTTTGCACTTTCGTACCGTAGCAAGATCGC